GGCACGGGGTCCCTTCAGGGCTCTGGGTCGTTCCGCTCCGAGAGCCGGAGTCGGTCTCCTGGTCCTGCGACGTGGCGTGATGCTAGGCGGGGGGCTTCGGCAGAGCTTGGGTCTCGGTGAGGTCCCACCAGCTCCACCTGCTCCCAAACCCCTTTGGACACTTTGGATCTGAGCTGACGGCCCTGAGAGCCAGCAGCGAGGATGCAAACTCCTGCTCTGGGCTCTGAGCTTGCTTTCGAGGCTGCCCACCCAACCCATCCCTTCGAGTCCTGGCAGTGATTGTGGAGGAAGATGATGTGCACAGCGGTGTGGGGAGGGTGGAGAGGAAGAAAGGGGCGAGGAAGGATGGAGAGAGACAGATGGAGGGGCAGAGAGAGGGATGGGGGAAGCGAGTGAGCGGGTAGGCTCCGCTTTCTGCTCTGTCCCAAGCTCCCTCTCGTGTTCAGCCGCACATATTTCTCCGCCGATCCTCTCCGAGTTAATGCAGGGACGTTGGATCTTTCCTACCGCGTTCGCACCGGAGGAGCCGGACCCCGGTCGGGCAGCCCGCTGGCTGCAGGCTGGCTTTTCCCCGAGACCGAGGCATCGCCTGGTTCTCTGCAGCGAAACTGCAGCGTCAGAGGCACCTCCGGCCTCTCTGAATATTCAGGCCAGAGCCAGATGCTCAGCCGAGCTCCGGCGAGAGCCAGAAATCCATAGTTTTGATCGTGCGAGGAGAGACGCGTGCCGCAGACGTGCCCCGGTCTGCCTGCGCCGGCACTGCTGATGCTGCCGCTGGGCGAGGGCTGAGATGCGCCGTGCCGTGCCGGAGCAGCATCGCTTCCCTCCAGACCCTGCCCCTCCCCTGCCGCCGCCGCTCATCAGCTGGTCTCGCACAGGGTCGTTTTCTGCTCCATTTCCTCCCCCAGCCTTTGGATCCCCCCCACCCCAAGCTCTCCGCTTTCTTCTTCGTCATCCCGGCTGGGATAAAATATGACTGCGGCCCGGGCGCCCCGCTGCTCCCCTCGGGGACCGCTCGTCCACATCACCCGTCGGATCGGCAGCCTGCGCGTCCTTGGCAAAAATATGTATTTCAGGCCGCCGGGGTGCTAATTTGCAAGGCCCATTACTCAAACGAAACATGAAAATGGCCGTGCATAAAGCAGAGCCTTTATCCGTGCCTCCCCCTCGGTCTGAACTCCCCGCGCCAGGTATAGGCTTCCTGTCAAGCCCCAGAGCTAAAAGCAAAGATTTATCGATAGGCACCTCGGCTCCGGCTTGCATTTTAATTGCGTCGCCGTCAGCCCGCGCCGGGGATGAACTCGGTGGCGGTGGTGTCATCCTCGCTGCACCTCCCCGGGCGGACGCGCCGGGAGGGACGCGGGTTCTTGGAGTCCCCAGGAGGGACCCTCTCGCTTTCCCGCGTCCGTTCGTCCCCGCTCGTCCAGCACCGGAATTCTGATCTTAAAATGGGGCTCGGCGAGGAGCCGGAGCCGAAATTGCTTTTCGGAGCGCTCGACTTCGCGCCGAAGCTGCGGCACCGCGAGGAGCTGGGAAGCCACGCTTGTCAGGGAGGAGACGCGACGAACTTTGGAGTTGGCTTGTTTGTTTTCCGCAGATATTTGCACGCGGGGGTGCGTATAAATATTATTCGCGTGCGCCGGGCGACACCGGTGTCTCGCTGAGCGCGGGTGCAAAGCCTGACCTGGCGCTTTCTGGCAGCGGCGATGCATATTTATCAGCGAGGCGACGGGTGGGAACGCAGCCCTCGCCCGCTCGGCGTGGCAGACGCTGCCTCAGCAAATATTAAAATAAACAAAGGCACCAACAGCTCGGCCGGCGTCTCTCCCGTGCTGACTTCGTTACGGAGCAGCCTTCTCCCAGGACAGGAGGGGGGACCGGCCGCAGAGATGCTCTCGGGGTGCTCCTGGCCGAGCAGGGACCGGCTCTGCGAGCTGCTGGACCCCAGGCGCCAGAGACCGTCCCCTGCCTCAGTTTCCCCATCGGTCGCAGTGATCTATAGAAGCGACGTAAGCCTTAGCTCGCAGCCCAGCAGGGGAGTGCGAAAGTCTCCCTTCATTAATAAGCACAGAGTGCTTTCATATTTTTAGATGGAAGTGCCACGTATTGGTATAATATTACTGTATCTCATTTGACTTCTTTTTCGACTGCAAGCCCCCTCTTGATCCTGTTACCTGCAGTAACAGTTATCTGGCTATATTTTATCATCTGAATATTTCAATTAAATTACTTTAAGGGAAAAAAAAAAGCCTGCGCTGAAGTTGGAAGTGATCACTGTATCACTCCAACTTCCCTCCGTTCCCAGAAGGTTAATTGAAAGGCAGCCATCTTGGTGACGTTTAGACAAATGAGGATAATTATGTGTTCTCCAGCTCTTTGAGAGGTTAATTGCTTAGATGTACGAAGACTTGAAGAACAAAGAAGGAATAAATCAGAAGCAGGTCTATGATCTGATAATGTAATTTGGTATATTCACGTACAACTCAAACAAATAAACCCCCTAATTGCACCCAGTCGTTCGGCCGCGGGGTTGCCGGGATCAGGCGCCCGGCCCTCGGTGGTGCTCGGAGACGGGGTACCCGTGTGAGGAGGACGGGTCTTCAGCTGGCTGGGCACGGGGGCGGTGGTGATCACCTCGTGCTGGTGATGGCTTCTTCATCTGGCCACGCCATGGGGCTGCGGTCTGGCTCCTTGGTGCCCGGTGCGTGAAGCATCGCCAGCTCTCAGCCCGGCGGTGAAGCGGCGAGCAGAGGGTTTCCTCTGGCGGGTTATTTTATTTTGCCTAATTGCTGGTGAAATTTCTGCAAATTGGCAATTATGCTCTTGGGCTGATGGCTTACCCGGGTCAGTTACAGATCCCGCGTTTGGCAGGAGCGCGCCGTGAAATAAGGCTTCACCCTCCATCGGCAGAATTTCCCTCTTTTTAGAGGTTATTAGTTCTGCCTGCGGGGATTTGACCATCCTGAAGGAAGCTGGTTTTTCCCTGTTAATTCCCCCCGGTGACTGGAGTGAGGATGCTTCTCTCCGGGCCAGTTGTCTGTCCGTAGGTCTGTCCGTCTGCCGGCCCTTCCGTCCCGCTGGGATGGGGCAGACGAGGTGCTGGAAGCGACGTCCAGGCACGAGAGGTGCGGACGGAGGGAGCTGGTTTCCCCTGGCCCTTCCCCGCTGCCGGCACCGCGGCGAGGGGTGCAGCGTGGAGCTGGGTGCCTGCAGAGTTTGGTCTCTCACTGCAGGCTGAGCGAAGCGCCGAGCTTTCCAGCCGTCATCAGATACCGATTCGTTTTTCAGCCGCGAAGGGTCAGGCAAATGGTGGGGTTTTCTGCTCCGCTTAGGGCTTGGGGGTAAAATGTCTTCATCTGGAATCTCTTATCCCCCCTGCACTCCATCCCTGGGGAATTTTGAACGGATTTCCAATGAGAAGATGCCTCCCCACACCAACGAGTGGTTTTTTCCGCCTATCTGCCAGGCCCGTCTGAAATTGCGGTTTAATTCCCTGTATTCGCTCTTGTGTTGTGCATTAAGATACAGCGAGTTTATCCAGCAGTCCAGCTGTTTTGAAGATAATTACCACGGAACTCAACCTGATGTAAAATAATCCTCCCGGGCAAGCAGCCAAGAGCCTGAGACTTATCCTCCAAAGACTGAAACCTCTCCATTACCCTGAAGAGCCGCAGAGATAGGAGCCGGCGTATCATGACAAATATATTTTTGGTGGTAATTAACAGGGGGGGGTCGGGAGGAGAGGTTTGCCTCTCCCCTGAGAGACCGGCGAGGGTGGTGAGGCCGGACAGACCGACCGGGAGCGTGAGGACCACGAGCGATGAAGACCTGGCCGGTTTTCCATCCAAAGCACCCTCTCGCCGTCGTTTACCCCAGGGACCCGATTTGTGGTTGTCACCCGTGTGCCCTTCCGCCATCCTCCTCGCTGCGTTACCGCCCTGTCCTGGCTGCTTCCGACAGATTTTCCTGCCGTGCAAGCCAGGGACAGATGTACGATCGCTTTGCTCCGGTTGTCCAGGAGCTCCTTCTGTCGCCAGCGCGCCCTGGCCCGTGTTTTAATCCGGTTGCCAACATCCTTTCTCCCTCGCCGGCTGCGGGATGCTGCCGGAGCCGTGGCCGCTCGCTGCCGGGTTGAAAGCAGCCCCCCTTGCCTGGCCGGGACGGAGAAAAAAGC